GCCAGACAGGGGAAAAAAAGACTCTTTATATACAGGGGAACAATACAAATAATGGTTGACTTCTAATTAGAAACTGTTTAAGGCCTAAAGATAACAGAGTATCATCTTTAAAATGCCAAAAGGAAAAACTTTCAATTCAGATTCTGTATCTAGTAAAGATATCATCCAAATATCAGTGTCAAATAAGGATATTAAAGACATTCTCAGGTAAACAAAAACTGGGATGATCTGTCAGCAGACCTGCACTACAAGAAATGCTAGAAAGTGCTCTTCACGCTGAAAGAGAAATGATAGCAGATAGAAACATAGTATAGAAAGGAATTAAAAGGATAAATATAAAATACTATTATACTAAGTGAAAGAAGTCAGAGAAATACAAATACCATATAATTTCACTTACATGTGGAATCTACAAAACAAAACAAATGAATAAACAAACCAAAAGCAGAATCAGACCTACAAATACAGAGAACAAACTACTGCCACAGGGGAAGGATAGGGGAATGGGCAAAATGGGCGAGAGGGACTGGGAGATACAAGAATCCAGTTAAGGAATGAATAAGTCATGGGGATAAAAGGTGCACCCTGTCAATGGTATTGTAATGGTGTTGTAACAGACCATAGCTACACTTGTGGTGAGAATACCATAAGGTATAGACTTGGATCACTATGTTGTACACCTGAAACTAATATAACATTGTGTGCCAACTATACTCAAATTTTGAAAAATTTAGGTAATTTTGTGTTGGTGGGAAAAAAAGACTTGTTTTCTTTTCACAATTTCTTTAAAAGACCGCTGATACCTTTTGTTTTTTAAGACAAGTGATAACTTTAAAGCAAAATAACATTTTACGGGGCGCCCGGGTGGCTCAGTCGTTAAGCATCTGCCTTCGGCTCAGGTCATGGTCCCAGGGTCCTGGGATCAAGCCCCGCATCGGGCTCCCTGCTCGATGGGAGGCCTGCTTCTCCCTCTCCCACTCCCCCTGCTTGTGTTCCCTCTCTTGCTGTGTCTCTCTCTGTCAAATAAATAAATAAAATCTTTAAAAAAAAATTTTTAAAAAAAGCAAAATAACATTTTAACATGGGATTTACAATACATGTGAAAGAATATAACAATAGATAGCACAAAGGTAATGGAATTATATTTTTGTAATTACATATTTGTAAGCCTAAAAGTATTAAATGTTAGCTGAGAAGTAAAAAGTATAAAGTGGTACAGTAATGGCTCTAAATAAATTTTGAAGTTAAGGAAGCATATTATTAGCCCTAGAGTTAATCACTAACATAAAAACTACAAAGAGGCATAACTAATATTCCAAAGAGGAAACAAAATATCGTAAAATGTTTAACCCAAGAGGATCTAATATTTAAAGGACTCTAATATTTAAAAATTTTAAATCATGTATATATTTTTTAAGATTTTATTTATTTATTTGACAGAGAGAGACACAGCGAGAGAGGGAACACAAGCAGGGGGAGTGGGAGAGGGAGAAGCAGACTCCCTGCCAAGCAAGGAGTCCGATGTGGGGCTCGATCCCAGGACCCTGGGATCATGACCTGAGCTGAAAGCAGACGCTTCCTGACTGAGCCACCCAGGTGCCCCTAAATCATATTTCTAAATAATCTATGAACAAAAGAAGAAATCACAAGGGAAATTATGAAATATTTCAACTACATGATAACACAGCAGATCAAAATTTGCCAGAAGTCAAACCAAAGCTTGGAGAAATTTACCTTTAAATGACTGTAAAAGGAAGAAAGGTTTACTAGTGAAAAATATGTTTTAACCTTAGGAAGCTAGAAAATAAGAGCAAATTAAATCCAAAGTAAACAAAAATAAGTAATATATAGTAAAAATCAATGATACAGAAACAACACACTAAGAACATAAAACAGTATTTTATCAAACACTTTATATTGTGGTTTTAACATACATGTTCCTAATTAATAATAAGGTTAAGCATTTTTTTCATTTGTCTATTAGTCATGTGGATTTCCTCTTTTCCAAAAACCACATCCCTGGCTTTTGGTGATTTTTAAAAGGGGCTTTCTGTGTTTGCCTATTGAGTCTTAAGAATTCTAACACACTCTGAATAATCATTTGGGGCCATATATATTCTAAAATATATTCTCTCATTTGAAAATTATCTGTTTTCCACATTCTTTAAAAAACATACTTTTTTGTTGTTTTTAAGAGATTTGTTTATAATTTGCAGTTTCAGGTGTACAATATAATGATTCATTATTCACTGCTCATAAGTGTATTCTTACCCTCCCTTATTTCACCCATCCCCTCACCCACTACCCCTCTGACAACCACAAGCTTTTTCTCTATTTTAAGAGTCTGTTTTTCAGTTTCTCTTGTTTGTTCATTTATCTTGTTTCATATACGTATAAATTCCACGAGTGAAAAGCATATGGTATTTGTCTTTCTCTGAGTGACTTACTGCACTTGGCATTATACCCTCTAGGTCTATCCATGTTGTTGCAAATGGCAAGAGCTCATTCTTTTTTATGGCTAGGTAATATTTCACTAATTATATATACATATATATATATGGAATAAAATATATATAACACTTGTTCATTCATCAATCAATGCACATTTGGGCTGTTTTCATATCATGGCTATGGTAAATAATGCTGCAATAAATATATGGGTGCATAGATCTTTCTGAATTAGTGTTTTTGTTTTCTTTGGGTAAATACCCAGTAGAAGAATTATTGGATCATATGGTAATTCTACTTTAAATTTTTTAAGGAACCTCCATACTATTTTCCACAGTGGCTGCACCAGCTTCCATTACCACCAACAGTGCACAAGGGTTCCTTTTTTCTACATCTTTGCCAACATTTGTTATTTCTTGATTTTGATTATAGCCATTCTGACAGGTATAAGGTGATCTCTCATCGTGGCTTTAATTTGCATTTCCTTGATGGTTAGTGATGTTGGGCATCTTTCATGTGTCTGCTGGCCATCTGTACGCCTATTCAAGCCCTCTGCCCATCTTTGGATTATTTGCTTTTTGGTGTTGAATACTGTAAGTTTTCTATGTATTTTAAATATTAGCCCCTTATTGGATACATCATTTGCAAATATTTTCTCCCATTCAGTAGGTTGCCTTGTTTTTTTGATGGTTTCCTTTGCTGTGCAAAAACCTTTTATTTTGGTGTAGTCCCAATAGTTTCATTTTGCTTTTGTTTCTCTTGTCTTAGAAGACATATCTAGAAAGAGATTGCCATGGCTGATGTCAAAAGATATTACTGCTGGGGCACCTGGGTGGCTCAGTCGGCTAAGCGTCTCCCTTCGGCTCAGGTCATGATCCCAAGGGTCCTGGGATCGAGCCCTGCATTGGGCTCCCTGCTCAGCAGGGAGCCTGCTTCTCCTTCTCCCTCTGCCTGCCTGTCTGCCTGCTTGTGATCTCTGTCAAATAAATAAAATCTTTAAAAAAAAAAAAAAAGGTATTACTGCTTCTGTTTTAGGAGTTCTATGGTTTCAAGTCTTACATTTAAGGTCCTTAATCGATCTTGAGTTTACTTTTGTATATTATGTAAAAAGGTGGTCCAGGTTCTTTTTTTTTTTTTTTTTTTAAAGATTTTATTTGAGAGAGAGAATGAGACAGAGAGAGCACGAGATCGGGGAGGGTCAGAGGGAGAAGCAGGCTCCCCGCCGAGCAGGGAGCCCGATGTGGGACTCAATCCTGGGACTCCAGGATCATGACCTGAGCCGAAGGCAGTCGCTTAACCAACTGAGCCACCCAGGCGCCCGGTGGTCCAGTTTCATTCTTTTGCACCTAACTGTTCAGTTTTCCTAGCACCTTTAGCTGAAGAGGTTATCTTTTCTCCATTATATATTCTTGCTTCCTTGGTTATATATTGACCATATATGTGTGGGTTTATTTCTAGGCCCTCTATTCTGCTCCATTAATCTATTTTCTGCCAGTACCATACTGTTTTGATTATTATAGTTTTGTTACATACCTTAAAATTTATGATTGTGATACCTCCAGCTTTGTTCTTCTTTCTTAAGATGCTTTGCAATTTGGAGTCTTTTGTGGTTCCATATGTATTTTAGGATTATTTGTTCTAGTTCTGTGGAAAATGTTGGTGTTTTTATAAAGATTACATTTCTTTGTAGTAATATATTTCATTTGTATTGTATAGATATTTTGACAATGCTGGTTCTTCTAATCCATGAGCACAGTATACCTTTCCATCTGTGTCATCTTCAATTTGTTTCAACAATGTTTAATAGTTTTAAGATACAGGTCTTTCACCTGCTAGGTTAAATTTATTCTTAGGTATTTATTCTTTTTGATCTAATTGTAAATGGGATTATTTTCTTAATTTCTCTTTCTGCTACTTCATTATTAGTGTAAAGGGACTCAACAGATTTCTGTATATTAATTTTGTATTCTGTGACTTACTGAATTCATTTATCAGTAGTTTTCATCAGTCATTTCCAGTAGTTTTTTGGTGGATTCTTTAGGGCTTTCTATATATATTATTGTATATATATTCAATCTGCCAATAATGAAAGTTTTACTTCTTTACCAATTTGGAAGCCTTTTATTTTTTTTTCCTGTGCGACTGCTGTGGCTATGACTTCCAGTACTATGCTGAATAAAAATGGTGTTAGACCATCCTTGTCTTGTTCCTGACCTAGCTGAAAGTTAATGAATTTCATTCATCTTCTTAAAGAACCACTCCTGGTTTCATTAATCTGTTTTATTTTTTTAGTCTCTATTTCTGCTCTGATCTTTATTATTTCTTTCCTTCTACTTCTTTTTCAACCTCCCGTAGGTGTAAAATCAAGTTGGTTGAGATATTTTTTGCTTCTTGTGGTAGGCCTGTATTGCTACAATCTTCCCTCTTAGAACAGCTTTTACTAAGTATCCCAAAGTTTTTGGACCATTGTGTTTTCATTCTCATTTGTCTCTATGTATTTTTTTATTTCCTCTTTGACTTCTTGGTTGACTCATTCATTGTTTAGTAGCATGTTATTTAGCCTCCATGTATTTGTGTTCTTTCCAAGATTTTTTTTTTTTAAGATTTATTTATTTAATTGACAGAGAGAGACAGCAAGAGAAGGAACACAAGCAGGGGCAGAGGGAGAGGGAGAAGCAGACTCCCCCTTGAGCAGGGAGCCCAATGCGGGGCTCGATCCCAGGACCCTGGGATCATGACCCGAGCCAAAGGCAGTCGCTTAACCAACTGAGCCACCCAGGCGCCCCTCCAAGATATTTTTTATTTGAGAGATCATGTGAGAGCACAAGCAGGGGGAAGGCCAAGGGAGAGGGAGAAGCAAGCTCCCTGCTAAGCATGGAGCCCAACAACATGGGGCTCAATCCCAGGACCTTGAGATCAGGACCTGAGTTGAAAGCAGATGCTTAACCGACTGAGCCACCCAGGCACCCCTCAACCTTTTTCTTGTGGTTGATACCCAGTTTCATACTGTTTGGTTGAAAATGATGGTTTCCAATTTTAAAATTTTATTGAGACTTGTTTTGTTGACCTAATATATCTATTCTGGATAATGTTCCACATGCACTTAGGGAATGTGTATTCTAGAGGCACCTTGGTGGCTCAGTTGGTTAAACGCCCAATTCGACTTTGGCTCAGGTCATGATCTTGGGTTATGGGATTGAGCCCCACATCGAGCTCCATGCTCAGGACAGAATGCTTGGGATTCTCTCTCTCCCTCTCCCCTTCCCCCCGCTGGCTCATGCAGGTGCTCTCAATAGATAAAATCTTGGAAAAATAATGTGTGTTTTGTTGTTTTTTGGATGGAACATTGTATCTATTAGGTCCATTTGGTCCACATGTCATTCAAAGCCACCTTTTCCTTGATTTTCTGTCTGAAAGAAATATCCATTGATGTAAATGGGGGTTAAAGTCTGCTACTATTATTGTGTTACTGTCAATTTCTTCCTTTATTTCTGTTAATAATTGCTTTATGTATTTAAGTGCTTCCATGTTGGATGCATAAATATTTACAATCGTTTTATCATCTCGTTGGATTGTTCCCTCCATTATGTAGTGTCCTTCTTTGTCTCGTTAGTCTTTGTTTTCAAGCCTATTTTGCCCAACAATATATATTGCTACCCCAGCTTTCTTTTCACTTTCATTTGCATGATAAATGTTTTACTATCCCTTCACTTTCACTCAGCACATCTTTAGGTCCGAAGTCAGTCTCCAAAGTCATGTATAGATAGGTCTTCTTTTTGTAAACTAGGCTGTTATCCTATATCTTCTGATTGGAGCATTTAGTCCATTTATATTTAAATAACTGATAAGTATGTATTTATTGTCATTTTGTTACTTGTTTTACGGTTGTTTTAGTAGTTTTTCCGTGTACCTTTCTTCTCTTGTTCTCATCCTTGTGGTCTGACAGCTTTCTTTAGGACTTTGCTTGGATTCTTTTCTCTTTATTTTTTCTGTATCTATTATAGGTTTTTGTGGTTACCTTAGATTCATATATAACATCTTATGCATATTGCAGTTTATGTTAAACTAATGGTCACTTAAGCTTGAACCCATTCCAAAAGCATTAAATTTTTAATCCCCTCACTCATATTTTATGTATATGATGTCATTCTTTACATCCTTTTATTTCATGCATCCCTTGACTGATTTTTGTAGATATAATGGGATTTACTGCTTTGTGCTTTAACCTCCATACTGGTTACACTGAAATAAAAATCAATACACTAAAGGGAATCAGTGACAGATTAGAAGAGGCAGACGAACGAATCAGCAATCTGGAAGACAGGGTAATGAAAAGCAAATAAGCTGAACAGGGAAAAGGAAAAACTATAAAAAATGAGAAGAGATTAAGGGAACTCAGTAACATCATCAAGCGTAATAACGTTTTCATTATGGGAATCCCAGAAAAATCAAAAAGAAGGGTCAGAAAACTTATTTAACGAAATAACAGCTGAAAACTTCCCTAATCTGGAAAAAGAGAAATCCAGATCCAGAGAACAGAGAGAGCACCCAACAAAATTAACCCAAAGAGGTTTATACCAAGACACAATAAGCAAAATGGCATAAAAGTAGCGATAAAGAGAGAATTTTTTTTTTTTTAAGATTTTATTTATTTATTTGACAGAGAGAGATAGCAACAGCAGGAACACAAGCAGGGGGAGTGAGAGAGGGAGAAGCAGGCTTCCCGCCAAGCAGGGAGCCCGATGCAGGGCTCGATCCCAGGACCCTGGGATCATGACCTGAGCCGAAGGCAGACGCTTAACGACTGAGCCACCCAGGCGCCCCAAGAGAGAATTTTAAAAGGAGTAAGAGAAAACAAGTTATATACAATGGAAACCCTGTAAGGCTATCAGCTGATTTTTTAGTAGAAACTTTGCAGGCCAGTAGAGAGTGGCATGATATACTCAAAGTACTGAAAGGAAAAAACTCTGCAACCAAGAACACTCTACCCAGCAAAGTTATGATTCAGAATAGAAGAACAGAGTTTCCCAGACAAAAGTTAAAGGAGTTTATTATCACTAAACAAGCATGAAGTTAATTCTTTGAGTGGGAAGAAAAGGCCATAATCAGGAGTAAGAAAATTATGACACGAAAAAATTTCACAGCTAAATGCAAACATACAAAATTAATCACTTATGAATATACTTATTTTTAATGGTATAAAATGCATCAGTAACTTTGTATATTTATGGAAAAAAGCCTTCCTTCACCTTCCCCCACAAGGGGGAAGATATTTTCTCAGAAAAGGTTTATTGTTTTGTCTTTCACATTTAGGTTTCTAATCCACTTAAAAGTAATGTAAATGTAGTTTGAGGCAGGGTTCAAATTTCACTTTTTCCCCCATAAAAGTATCTTACTGACTCATTATTAAGTAGTGCATTCTTTCCCCATTGCTCTGTAATATAACCACCTGTGTCATACATCCTGTGTCTATATATAAGTAAAATATTCCTGGTTCTCTATTCTCTCAAATTATCTATATATGCATTACCAACATTTCATTATTTTAATTATTAGAGCTTTATTAAAAATCTTAATATCTGGTAGGACAAGTCAACTTTGCACTTTTAAAAGTGACTTTGTGGGCCCCTGGGTGGCTCAGTTGTTAAGTGTCTGCCTTCAGCTCAGCTCATGATCCCAGGGTCCTGGGATCGAGCCCCACATCAGGCTCCCTGCTCGGCGGGAAGCCTGCTTCTCCCTCTCCCAGTCCCCCTGCTTGTGTTCCCTCTCTCGCTGTGTCTCTTGTCTGTCAAATAAATAAATAAAATCTTAAAAAGAAAAAAAGTGTCTTTTGCTATTTTTTTTTTTTTACAGAGGGAGGGGGAGAGAGAGAGAGAGTAGGCAGGAAAGGGGGACACAGGGAGAGAGACAATCCCAAGCAGGCTCCACGCCCAGCGCAGAGCATGATGTGGGGCTCAATCCCACAAACCTGAGATCATGACCCCATCCAAAATCAAGAGTCAGACACCTAACAGACTGAGCCACCCAGGTGACCTAAAAGTATCTTTGCTACTTTTAACATTTTGCACTTGCATATAAATTTTGGAATCAGCTCCTCCTAATAGGAAGGGAGTAAAGGAAAGAATGAGGGGAAAAACTTGGGGGACTGCAATGAATATATATATCAAGATGTTGAGGACCATTTCTACAATGTTAATTCTTGCAGTCTGTGAAGATAGCATCTCTATTTATAGCTCTTAACATCTTTTTAATAAAGTTTATAATGCTTGCCACAAAAATCTTGCACATATTTTGTTACAATTATCCTAGTTACTTCTTACCTCTTTAAGATTTTTATTCATTTGAGAGAGAGACAGACAGAGCACAATCAGGGGGAGGGGCAGAGGGAGAGGGAGAAGCAGACTCCCTGCTGAGCTGGGAGCCTGATGCTAGGCCCGGTCCCAGGACCTAAAGATTGTGACCTGAACCAAAGGCAGACACTCAACCGTCTGAGCCACCCAGGCACCCCTGCTTCTTACTTCTTGCTGCTATTATAAACAGCTTTTTTTTTTTAATTTTCATTTTTCTGGTTGCTAGAAAAAATGCAAAGAGATTTATTGATCTTTATATCTAGGAATCTTGCTGCAGACTAATAATTCTAGTAATCTTTAAATTTCTAGGATTTCTAAAATAGCTATTAAAATCTTTAAAAAAATAAAATAGCTATTAACTTCATCCTATTCTTTAAATGAATGCTTTAAATTTTTTACCATTATGTATAATGTTAAATGCAGGTTCCTGTGCAGATATTTTTATTTGGGTTATAGAAACTTACATCTATTTTGTGAATTCTTTTTTCTAAATCCTAAATACATATAAGCTTATCAAATGCTACTGCTACATCTATTAAGTTTATATTTTTTCTCTTATAACCTCTATTTTTCTCTTTTCTCTATGTGGCAAACTGGTATCCTAAGGCTAAATTAGCCTGATTCTGAAATAAATTCAATTTATTAAACTTATATTCCATGAGTTCTAGAAAATTCTTAGCCCTATATCTTCATATATTGCCTCAGCCCCCCCTTTCTCCCTGCTCTTTCTGGAACTATAGTTAGATCTGTACATTGGATTTTCTAACTCCAATTCCTGAATGTCTTTCATAATTTCCCTCTCACACTGTTTCATTGTGGGTAATTTCTGCCAACCTCTCTTCCAACTTACTAATTCTCAGTGTCTTGTCAGCTTTGTCTCACCTATTAAATCCAACTATGAATTCTTAATTTTACATGAATATTCACTTATAGGAAATTCCATTCATTTTTTTCAAATCTCCTTTTTATTTTCCCATTCTCATACTTTGAACTTCATCATTTATTAATTGAACTATGTAAAACATTTATTTTATATACTATGGCTGCTATTCTGTGACTGGGTAATTCCAACATTCAAATTATCTGTGAGTTTCTTTCTGCTGTCATTTCAGCTGTAGAATGCACTTGGTATCTTATTTCAGTGAGTGTTTAATAATTTTTTTCTCAGAGCTACTTATTTTCTTCAGAAAATATTTTATCGAACTATTTTGAGGCTTGGAATGAAGTCAGTCTGGGAAGCAATCTACAACTAATGGGCCAAAATATTTGGTAAAGTCAAAAATATTTACTATCCAGCCTGATACAGAAGAGTCTGCCATCCTCAGTTCCTCCAAAGATGATATGGTTTGCTTATGCCACGCACCTGTGATTATTAACAGCCCAGAATTACTTTATATTGTCAGTTTTAACTTTTTTCAGACTAATAAAATATATTATGAATTTCAACTGAATATCCATAAATGACTACCAGCACATAGTTACTTCTCAGAGCACTTTCCACCTGCCTCCATTCAGAACCAAGACCCGGGTATGCAATTTTTCTTAGTTTCTTTATGACTCAAATGAATGGTGAGTTCATTTCTAGTTCACTGTCACACTGAAGATATAGCCTCGTCTCCTATTTTACTTCCTCACTTGGGTGGATCCTAGGGTTTATCTCCTGTACCATGTTCATAAGGCTATGAATTTCAAAATGAAGTTCACCTTATTTAGTACATGTCTTCAGAGTAAACACCTGTCCTTGAACTCAGTTTCTTTCTCTAGATTCTCACTTTAATCTGTGGAATTAGTGAGTATACCTTATTTTTTGTAAATTTTTTCAATAATTTTATCTAGGATTTTTACTTATTCTCCACAGAAGGATCATCTGGGAACTTACCCTTACATATAATCATATACAGAACACTTGAATCAACCTCCTTCACTTGTATTTTGCTATACCAGAGGTTTATATAAGGTGCTGTGGAAAGAGCAGGAAGTGGAAACCAGGAAAGGATGCTCAAAGAAGCTGATGTCCAATCAAGTCTGAAATATGAATAGGAGTTTGTCTAACAAAGATGATGGGCAAGAGCATTTGAAGACTTTGAAGAAACATATGGAAAAGCTCAGAGATAAGAAGAGTATCTTTGGGAAACTAAGTATTTCAATGTACAAAGAGAGGAGCAATAAGGGTGGAAAAGTAGAAAGAGAGATATGGAAGAATTCATGAAATATGAGAGTACAAATGAGGCTTACTGACTAATGTGAGGCAAGAGGGCTATACCCATGACAATGTTCAGGGATCATAGAGCCAATTATCAAGATAAGAATCATAGAGCAATGTAGAGTTTTTTGTTTTGTTTGGAGAGGAAAAGGAGCTGGGGGTGGGTGGGGGGTTGAATTATGAAATAATAAATTGTTTGGGGCATGTTGATTTTTAAAGGCCTCTAGGACAAATATGATGAAATGTCCCAGGAAACACCTAGATACACTGTACCTGAAATTTAGGATCAAAATCTAGCCTAGACATAAAAGAGTTGGGATTAAAAACAACAGCCACAAATGAAGCCCTGAGTAGAAAGACGGCCTAGGGAGAATAGTTGAGTCTTAAGTCATAAGCCTAGGAATCGCCGGCATTTAAGGAAAAAGAGAAGCATGTAAATCGAACTGAAAAAGAGTGGCTTTAGAAGTAGGAGGAAAAGCAAAAAAAAAAAATTGACTAATGGGAAAGCCAAATAAATGTTCAAGATCAAGTAAGATCTAGATAGTCTTTGATCCATCGGTTTTAGAAATCAGTCAGTAATAATCTCAGTACTATCCTCCATTTTCCTCTGTCTGGTCTCTCTGGTCTAAAGCCTCTACAGTAAAACTTCCTCCAAAAGAAGTAGCCTCTATTCTCCCACTGCTCACTAGGAATCTTCGATTTTTCTAAGAACGCTAGTCTCTCATTCTACAAAAATGACTTTTTATCTTCATCACTCTCGACACTTTCACCAGCCCCATAACCTTGACCCAGTTCACTGAGAAAGGTTAAATCATGAGAAGGAACTCACTCCCTCATATTTCCACCACCAAATCTACAAGCTCTCCCACACCCATGTTCTACTTCTCTCCAGATAAAGACAGGATCACTTTGAAGGCCAATACACTTCTATATAAATGCTTCTCAACTAGAGGTGATTTTGCTCACAACTCCCCTAAAGGGTAGGGTGCTACTGGCATCTGAAGGGTAGAGGTCAGGGATAATGCTAACCATCCAATGTTGCAAGACAGTCCCAACAAAGAATTACCTGATTCAAAATGTCAGTAGTACTGAGGCTGACAAACCCTGCTCCACATGTTCTGAATCCCTTCCTGTCTCTGAGAACTTAGCCCCATTTTTCTACTCCCTTCTGTATTTTCAACTCTCCCTTTCTACTCAACCATTCCTGTCACCTGTAAATGTTCCAGTATTTTCCATTCTTTAAAAATATACAAACACACACACACACCACAATCTCTGACTGCTTATGTCCCTTTAGGTACTATTTCTCCAATACTTTATACCAAAGTTCAATACTTGTATTATTCAATATAATATTTAATACTCACATACATTTGAATGTATTATACTCATATTTCCACTAGTCATTTCTTCAGACTTTTCCCCCAACTGTTCCACTGAGGTAACTCAGCAAGTTTCTTCTTTCCTGTTTATGAAGAGGCTTATAACTAAATTCAATGGTCAATTATGGTACTTATCTATTGCAAAGATTTTCTGGTCTAATTATCTCCATCCACCCACCCTACTCCCAATGACACCATCATCATAAATTACTAAAAGATTGTATTTTCAGTAGTCAGTCATGTTCACTACTACATTCCCAGTTCCCAGCACCATCAGGCACTCAAATATATGTTAATGACTGAATCCCTGGCAAAGAGTTAATTTCTTATGAAGCTACCATATTTGAAGTATGTATGTCAAGATAAGACACTAACATATGCAAGGGATTATGGCTGGAATTTAAACAATGGGGCAAAACCTGAAATCAGGTCTCCTGATTCAGCTGTCTCTCCAGCAGGAAGTCAATTCAAAACATTTTTCAAAAAAATTTCAAGATTTTATTTTTAAGTAATCTCTACACCCAGCATGGGGCTCAAACTCACAACCCCGAGAGCGTCACATGCTCTACCAACAGAGCCAGCCAGGCACCCCTCAAAACATTTCTAAAGTGCGTGACTACACTTGATTTGGGGCCTCATGTTGTACATGAGAGTAAAGTGATCTGAGAATCTTTCAGACTAAGGTATTAGAAGGAAGAATTAAGAATTTCACATTTTAGGGCACTTGGGTGGCTCAGTCTGTTAAGAATCTGCCTTTGGCTCAGGTCATGATCTCAGGGTCCTGCCAGAGTCCCACATCCGGCTCCTTGCTCAGCAGGGAGCCTGCATCTCCCTCTCCCTGCTTGTACTCTCTCTCTAATAAATAAAATCTCAAAAAAAAAAAAAAAAAAAAAAAGGAATTTTACATTTTAAAATACACAAAAGGATTGGGCGCCTGGGTGGCTCAGTTGGTTAAGCGACTGCCTTCGGCTCAGGTCATGATCCTGGAGTCCCGGGATTGAGTCCCACATCGGGCTCCCTGTTCGGCGGGGAGTCTGCTTCTCCCTCTGACCCTCCTCCCTCTCATGCTCTCTGTCTCTCATTCTCTCTCTTGCAAATAAATAAAATCTTAAAAAAAAAAAAAATACACAAAAGGATTAATCATGGAAATGTCTAACATTGTGGCACCCAGGAAGAACTCCACAGACTATACTTTGAATCAGTCACAATTTCTATGTAAAGCCTGAAGCTTCTGATTCTTTAAACTCCTGGTCTCTCCTGCACTGGTATCATTAATTATTACTGGTCCCACACAACTATAATATGGTCTTTGTTCTTTCTCCCACATGCCCAGTCTTTATGGTTTCCAAGTCTCTACAACCCTATGAGGTAGAAAAGAATGACCCCCATCTGAGATTCATAGAAGTTTTTAGTCCAAAACTGTACTCAGTGAACTTGCACACAAGTTGATTCTTGGTCAGGAACAGGCCTCAGTTTTGCCAGAAAGGTTCTCAACTTGGTGTTCTTCACTAGTGAGAAAAGAAACAGCTCAACTGGTAGTGAGGGAAAATTTAGATGACTCTCTTCTTGCCAAGTCAATATGATGCCCATATGATGTCTGCCAGGTGATGATGTGGTATCTCTTGGTGATTTGTACACCATTTCCAGCTATATACCAAAGACTTCACCACAGTTGAAGTTCCTCTCACTACCTGCAACAAATACAGACAAGGGCCTACTTGCATTTGTAAGGGGAATGTGGCAAGTAGTCAGCAAAATCAAGAGCAGCCACTGGGTATCCACAATTCCAGAACATTATCTGGGTCAAGGTAGAAGAGAGAGCCCCCACTCAGTATACTCTCAACAATGTCTCTGCAATGGTCTCGGTCATTCAGCAACTGGAAATGTTTTCTTACACAACACAAAGCCAGTAACTCCAAGACCACCTCTGGAAATTGCCACTTAGACCACCAGTGATTAACTTCACACAATACTCCAGGAAGTACTGGACAAAGCTGGCATACTGTACAACAGCAAATGTTATGAGCCTAAAGATGAGATTATAAGCAGGCTGACCGATGTGATTCAGAAGCTTTCAATTTGAAGGTTCTTCTTGAAATGCTGGAAACAAAGGTATGAATATATATATTTAGGTTTCTACATAAACAACTGGGACAGAGAGTATAATGATTGAGGAACTGGTTGTAATGGTTTCTCTCCCTTGTTCTGCAGATTCAAACTAAAGATTTCTAATTAGGGGGCAGTATCATGAGAGATAGTAGACTGGGCAGTCCCTGAACTTCATGTGCCCAGAGGCAAGCGAGCACTATGAGTAAACAGACACAGAGGCCCACCAGCACATCTCTGAGATGGAAGGCCTATCTGTATCTCTTCTATTAATAGTGCCTTCAACACTGTCCAAGTTTCCACCACCACCCCAAGCAGACCACTGGGTAAGAATAGTTAGATGCAAAAAAAAACAAAGACAGGCTCAACCTACCTTGAGTTTTAGCCCAAGGAGCAACAACCCTGCAGCTCCAAGAAGTGAATTAGTCAGCTCTGGCTTGCCTCTTATTGTCCCACACATCCCAGTTCATGCTAGCCTGGTTTTAAGTATTATTAGGAAATATGCCATACAGAAGAATGTATTAAATATACATGTGCAACTTATCCAGAAAAATATTCATATAACAACTAGAAACACAACACTGTTAGTACATTAGAACCTGTGTATCCTAGTCCCTCACCCCCCAAATCACCAAAATTCTGACCTGAAATTCTGATCAATCATTCCTGGCTTTTCTTTATATGACCTTCTATGTATACATACACTTCTGAAAGATACATGTTTGATTTGACCTGCCCTTGAGCTTTATGGAATCACACACTGTATATAACCATTCTTAACTTCTTACACTTAGCTCTTCTCAAGATTCATTCATAAAGGTGTTTATAGCTGTCATTCATTTTCACTACTATATAATTTATACACTGTATACTATACCATAACATGTCCAGTCAGTAGCTGATAGGTATTTTAGTTATTTCCAATCTGTGAATATAATGAACAATTTTGCTATTTTGCCATGTATTGTTGCTGATGAACACTTTTAAGTTCCACTAGAGCAGTGCTGTCCAATATACACATAATGAAAACCACAAGTAATTCTAAATTTTCCAGTAGCTACATTAAAAACATTTTTTTAATATTTTATTTAACCAAATATATTATCATTTCAATATGCAATAATTATAAAGATCATTGAGATATTTTACATTCTTCTTAACTAAGCCTTCAAAATCCAATACTGTACATTTAAAGCAAATCTCCTTTTGGACTAGTCATTTTGAAAACTCAATAACCACAGGTGGTTAATGTTGGAACAATGCAACTCAAGAGCATTTTTTTTTTTAAGATTTTATTTATTTATTTGACTTATGTAAGCAGGGGGAGTGGCAGGCAGAGGGAGAGGGAGAAGCAGGCTCCCCACTGATCAAGGAGCCAGATGTGGGACTTGCAGGACCCTGGGATCATGACCCCGAGCAGAAGGCAGACGTTTAGTTGAGCCACCCAGGCACTCAAGAGCATATTCTTAAGTACAGATGGTAAGCATAAGATATGGTTTCACATTTTTTACTCCCACAGATTAATAAAGTTCTTGTTCCAAATATTCCCAAACATTAGTCTGTTTTAATTTTGCTCACATGGGCTTCATGAAATATTTCACTGACATTTTAATTTGCATCTTCTTAATAATGTTAAACACTTTTTCATGATTTCAACCATTTGGGCTTCATCTTTCATGAAATGCTGGTTCATGTCTTATAATCAGTTTCTACTGCATCTTTTATTGATTTGTACATTTTTTTTTTAATTTTCCTGAAGTAATCTCCATGCCCAATGTGGGGCCTGAACTCACTACCCGAGATCAAGGGCCGCATGCTCTATCAACTGAGCCAACCAGGTGCCCCTATGCATTTGTTTTACAATACTTATCACACCATGAATGGAAACTATTTTTTTTTTTCGCTTCATGAACTACATATGCACTCTTGATGTTTAATAAAAAATTATTTGTGATAAACTTTTTTATTTTGTCCTTTATGGTTGTGTATTTTGTGTCCACTTAAGAAACCTTTCCCTACTGTGAGATCATGAAAATCTTTTACTATTATCCCTTCACAGCGTTTTGCTTTTGCCTTTCACGGGAATAGTTTCGATTGACACTAGAAGGCAGAAGCCTGTAATTTCACTTTCTTCCCCCACACACAATTTTCCCAGAACCACATATGAAAAATCAGATTTTCTCCTTGATTTGTAATACTACCTGTCATTCACCAAGTGTGCATATATGCATGCAACCATTTTGGGACTTCCCATTCCATTTCTACGGTCCGTATCTTTAATTTGCTAAAACGAGTTGCCCTGCTTTTAGGAGTGTGATGAGTTTCTTGTCCCTTATATTTTCATATAAATTTTAGAATCAGCTTATCAAATTCCTTTGAAAAAAATCTGTTGAAATACTTACTGGTATTTAATTGACTTTTGAATTGACTTTGGGAAAATTACCCTCTTTACCACACTGGATCTTTCAAACGTGAGCTTGTTATTTCTCTCCCTACTTATGTCTTTACTAACACCTTTAATTATAATAATCTCCTTAAAAGTCTGGTTAAAACTTTTACCTTTTCAAAGGTCTGTCTTCTAAAAGATCTATCCTATGGGAGGCAGAAGGGTCCTTCAAAGATATCCAGATCCCAATCCCTGTAACGTGATTATGTTAAATAAATGCAAAAAGGAATTTGCACATGTAATTCAGATTTCTAATAAATGACCTTAAAATAGGGAGCTTACTTTCAGAAGTGAATTTGATTTGATAAAAGTTTAAAATATTTATACCTAGATAACCTATAATGCTGAATTCTCATATTCTCATGAATTTCTCATTCATGTTCTCTTCAGGTTATCAGTATCAAGGTTACGCTCTTCTCATAAAATACCTGAAGTATTTATTTTTCGCCTACTCATTCAACAAGTATCTGAGTATTTACTATTAGCTCTATTCACTGGAAATACTTGTGCATGGCTGGAATTATTCCAATTTTAGAAAAACATGCTAATAAAGCCAAGTTTTCTCCAAGTTTGAAGATTTATAAAAATGGTTTCTATCAACTTTCTTTTCCAATAAATTTTGGTAAGTTACATATTTTTCTAGAAATTTCTCCCTAGCTAATGTTCAAATTCTTGGTCTAAAATTCCTTCTTAAATTTTTCCATAATCAGTAATTACATCCCCATTTTTACTGCAGTGAAAATAAGTACATTTTCCTCTTCTTTTTCTTCATTAATATTAGTCTTTCCACAGAGTTAAGTGTTGGTATGATTCTCTTGTGTTAGATCTAATTATTATTTACTTCCATATACTTTTATGGGGATTTATTTTGTTAATTCTTTTTTTTAACTTTCACCTTCTTGGAAGCTATAGCAGATTCTATAATTGTTCAAAGCCTGCATTCCCTAGATTAAGGGATTATGCATATCCACCTTTCACACTTTTTGAGAATATACATTTCCAGCCCCATAAATTTAGCCACCATCATTTGCTTTAGCCAACTGAATGTGAGAAAATTACATAAAGAACATCTAAGCAGCAACTTTAAATACATTTATACACTTTAGCTCAGGCTCTTGTTCATCCCCTATTATTTATGAATGAATAAGCAAGTGCTATATAATGGCTGTTCTTTCAGCATGAATCCCCCCAAAAATAAGTATTTTCCTGATAAGATTCTTGACTTTTAATCATTACAAAATGACTCTTTAGTACTAGTAATGCTTTGTTTTCAAATCTACTTTGTAAATCTATTGTCTGATATCAATATGTACAAAAGCTTTAGTTACTTTTTATTTGGGAGGTAGGTGGATGTTCTTTTACAAAACTTTTACTTTTAATTGGAATAAAAAAACCATAACACAAAACTTACCATCCTAACCATCTTTAAGTGTACTGTTCTATATTGTTAAGTATATTCACTGTTGTGCAACAGAGAGCCAAACATTTTTCATTTAGAAAAACTAAAACTTCACACCAATTAACTCCCCCTTCCTCCCTCTCTGGAAGCAACTGCCAATCTGCTTTGTTTCTATGAATTTGATTTCTTTAGTGCCTCATTTATCAGTGGGATCATAGTGTGTCTTTGTGGCTGATCTCACTGAATATGTCCTCAAAGACCATCCATATTGTATTATGTGACAGATTTCCTTCCTTTTTAAAGGCAGAATAGTATTCCATTAAACATATATACCACATTTTGTTTATCCATTCACCTGATGATGGACATTTGGCCTGCTTTTTGACTATTGTGAATACTACTGCTAAGAACATGACTGTGCAAATATCCTTTTAGTTTTTTGAGGAACGGCCATATTGTTTTCAATAGCAGTTATATCATTTTATGTTCCCATCAACAATGCACAAGGGTTCCAATTTCTCCACATCCTCTACAACAACTGTTGTTTTCTGGGTTATACTTTTTATTTTGAAAGTAGCCATCCTAATGGGTGGGAGGTGATACTTCATTGTGAATTTGATTTGCATTTCTCTAATGAACAGTGATATTGAGCATATTTTCATGTGCTCATTGGACGTTTGTAGATCATCTTTGGAGAAAAGTCTATTCAAGTCCTTTGCCCATTTTTTAAACTGAGTTTC